TTTTCTCTCTCTACCCCATCTACTGTAATTCATTTCTCTCCTTGTTTATTTTCCATTCCCCTCACAACCTCTTATATGTAATTTTGTATAGTAATGAGGGTCTCCCTTCATTTCCATGCAATATCCCTTTTCTCTCCCTTTCCCTCCCATCTCATGTCTCTGTTTAATGTTAATCTTTTCTTCCTGCTCTTCCTCCCTGCTCTGTTCATAGTTGCTCTCATTATATCAAAGAAGACATTTGGTATTTGTTTTTTAGGGATTGGCTAGCTTCACTAAGCATAATCTGCTCTAGTAGCACATGCTTTTAATTACACCTATTTGAAAAGCCGAAGCAGGAGAATCACAGGTTCAAGGCTATCTAAGGCAACTTAGTGAGAGTCTATCACAAATTTTTTTAAAATTTTTTTTAAAGGGCTGTGGATGTAATTAATGGTAAAGCCTCCCTGGATTCAGTCCCCAGTACCAGGGGAAAAAATAGATCTACACCAACATATGTGACTGAGTTGTGACAATGATACAAAAATAATTTAATAAAAAAATGATAGCCTTTTAAACAAATGGTGGTAGAAAAATTGTACATCACCAAAATTAAAAAGTTTTGCTCTGTGAAAGACATTGTTTAAAGAATAAGAAGACAAGCTACAGACTGGGAGAAAATATATGCAAACTATATATCTAACAAAAGACTAGTAGCTATAAAATATAAAGAACTCCTAAAACCCAGCAGTGAAAAATGAACAACCCAATTAGAAAATGGGCAAAAGACATGAATAGACTTTTCACTGAAGAAGATAGGCAGATGGCAAGTAGCACATGAAAAGATGTTCAACATCCTTAGTCATTAGGAAAATACATAGTGAGATATCATCATACACCTACGTATATGACTGAAATAAAAGGCAATGACAAAAACAAATACTGAGGACGATACAGAAAAACAGGATCACTCATACATTGCTAATGACAATGCAAAATGTTTGAAATGGTTAGAACATTCTGGAAAAAAAGTATGGCAGTCTTTTATAAAGTCAAACATATGCTTATGACCCAGACATTTATCCAAGAGAGTAAAAATTTATGTTCACACAGAAACCTATACATGAGTCGTGATAGCAGCTTAATTTGTAATATCAACAATTGGAAACAATCAGATATTCTTCAGTGGGTAAATGGTTAAATTGTGATCCATCCACACTATGAAAAACAACTCAGTCAGTAAAAATGAATGAATGAATGAATGAATGAATGAACTAAATACTGATAAGTGCACCTATTTGAATGACTCTCCAGGGCATTGCGCTGAGTGAAAAAAAAAATCAATCCCAAAACATCACATACTGTATGACTTAATTTATATAACACCCTTGAAATGGCTCAATTATAGAAGTAGAGAACTGCTAAGTGGTTGCTAGCATTAGGGATGGAATGAGAAAAGAAGGTGGGTGTACCTTTGAAAGTGCTCAGGAAGGATCCCTGTAGTGATGGAAATGTGTCTTTTTTTACCCCCAGAGCTGTGCATCAAACCCAGAGCCTCAAGCATGCTAGGCAAACACTCTACCACTGAGCTATATCTCCAGCCCCCAGTGTTCTATGTCAGTGTCAATGTCTTGATTGCAATACTGTATTACCAATGTACAAGACATTATCACTGGTTGAAACTGGACAGATGTATATAGTATCTCTATATTATTTCTTATATTTCCTTGTGAATTGACAATTCTCTCAAAATTAAAAGATTAATGAAATATACATTCAGAAAAGTCTGTATTGTATGGTTCCATTTACATAACGTTCTCAAAATATCAAAATTATAGAGGTAATCAGATTACTGGCTGTCAATAGGTAGAGGACAGGTGGAGAGTAGTGGCTGCAGTTATAAAAGAACAGCAGGAGGGATCCTTATCATGGAACTATTCTGTATCTTGACTGAGATGGTCACAGGAATCTACATATGTGATAAGAATGCTTAAAATTAAAGATATACACACAGAAAGACATGTACAAATGACTACATGTAAAGCTGATAAAATCTGAGCAATGAGATGAAGTGTATCAATGTCAATTTCTTGGTTGTGATATGGTACCCTAAGATATAATGATTAGATGAAGGGTAAAAGAATCTCTGTATTGGGCTGGGGCTGTAGCTCAGTGGCTGAACACTTGCCTAGCATGTGCGAGGCACTGGGTTTGATCCTCAGCACCACATAAAAATAAACAAATAAAATAAAGGCATTTTTGCCATCTACAACTACAAAAAATTTTTTTAAAGAATCTCTGTATTATTTCTTACAAATGCATATGAATATACAATTAGAACAAAAGCTAAATCACATAAAATTACAAATATGTTTAAAATTAACAGTAAAAAAATGATTTCATAACTTAATTGTTTCACTACTACCTATGCTTTTTTTTTTTTTTTTGTACTGGGAATTTAACCCAGGGGCACTTTATCACTGAGCTTCATCCCCAGCCCTTATTTTACTTTTTATTTTAAGACAGGTCTCAGGGCTGGGGATGTGGCTCAAGCGGTAGCGCGCTTGCCTGGCATGCGTGCAACCTGGGTTCGATCCTCAGCACCACATACAGACAAAGATGTTGTGTCCGCCAAATACTAAAAAATAAATATTAAAATTCTCTCTCTCCCTCTTTCTCACTCTCTCTCACTCTTTAAAAAAAAAGACAGGTCTTGCTAAGTTGCTGAGGCTGGCCTTGAACTTGCAGCCCTCCTGCCTCAGTTTCCCAAGTCACTGGGATTACAGGCAAAAACTGATATCTTGGTAGTCTAAAGTAGACCACAGAGTATCTATATCATTAGAATGGACAAACACTACAAATCAGAACTTTCCTCACCTCCTCCAGAGCTTGTTGTTAACCATCTTCCAGCATACCACTGGCTGGCCCACTAGTTAGAGTCTGAAATCTTTGAGGACAAAAGCAAGAGTTGAAGCAGGAATAGGGAGTGGAGACCTTGACTTTATAGGACCTAGTCTGCCTAGTATTATGGAAATCCACTGGTGTTTTTTGGGAATTGGAATTTTTCCAGGTGCCTATGAGGGAAGACCAATGGGGAAGAGGAGCTTAGGATATAAGAGTTAATGCTTAAAACTGGAACATAGAATTTGAGCTGGGAGGAACACAGAGGCAGTGGGGTTTGAGGGATGGAAACAGTATGTAGAGTTCATGGGCTGAAATCCCAAAGAGCTTGAGAATGGTGTGTCATGGGTATTGAGCTAGCAAGGTAAAGGGCAGGGTCTGCTATAAGGAGCACCAGCACTGAATGTGTTATTTTGGCAGGTGAGGGTGTGCTCCACTGATCCAAGTCTCCAAGATGGCCTTGGAAATGGGTTGAAATGGATGCGAGAAAAGGGCCCTAAAGATGAGGATTCAAGGATGCCAGTCAGGAACCAGGAGGCAGATGGGGCATTTCCAGGGAGGCTGATGTCTCCTGGGGTTGTGTCAGCACTTGGTAGAACCTCAGTTCTACTTGGGGTAGAAGAAAACTGGAAAAGGGAAAAGGGAGAATGGAAGAGGGGAAGAGGGAGGGAGAGAGAGGGACCAAGGAAAAAAAGTAAGAAAAGCATTTATTCTTATCAGAGGCAAGAAAGGGAAACTAATGCATAAAGCTGGAGGGAGTTTGGGGGCATCACCTGGTGATATTAAATGTCTCTATTTTAATCAAAAAGTCTTAAAAGACTCAATTGAGAATCTTAAAAACCTCAGGGACCAGACTAAATTCCTGTCTTTGCAATTCTTAAACCATCAAAAGAGTCTGAAATTATCGAACTTTCCAGAATATATCCCAAACCACAGGATAAAGGTTACACAAGAAAATGAAGAGTGGCCAGGACGGTCCTCTCAGTTCATAGGGACCAATCTTGATGACAGTCCTCCACAGCTACCAGACCTGAGTGGCTAATTCCTGGGCTAGTCAGAGGAAGGAGGCTTCACAGGTAAAGGGGGTGTTCACCAGAGGCAGCAGGGGAACCAGATCTCAACTAGAAAAGTCTGATTTTTCCTCCAAGGACCTGAATGAGGATCCAGGAAATTCCCTCACTCACACCCCAGGGAGCAAAAAGATAGTGGACCTTTTTTCCAGTTGCAGAAACTGGGTCTTTTCTTAATCCAATGTGAATTTGCTCTGTGTCTCACATATAGTAGATGCTCAGTAAATGTTTATAGAATTAAATGGAATTGATGAGAAAAAAGAAGGAGGAAGTGAAAGAGAAGGGAAGAAAAAGAAAAATGATTTTGATTCAATCAATAGGTTGGGAACTTGATGTTTTCCTTGAAGTCAGATTCTAAACTTGAAGATAGAAAAGGAAGGGGTATTTGTACAATTAACTAATAGTGGGATTTCTGGGCTCAGCAAATGGTGTTCTGATCTCTTGGTGAAGAATAAATTGGAAGGGTCTTCCTTTGCTCCTCAAATGACCTCAGCACCCACCTTGACCTGGCTGGGTAGGTGGATAGAGCCACCATGCATACAGCCATCCTCAGTTGCCTCAGAGCCTCATAAGCATTTTCTAACAAGCTGTTTTTGTTTCAACCAACACAGCCCTTGGAGGTAGAGACTATGGTTGTGTCCAG